GACAGTCCCCGCTGGTTTCACAGCCCGGAGTTGTGGGGACGTCTCTTCCCAGCCCTGGAGCTCTGGGCTGGGGGCCTGCTGTGGGGCTGGGACCCCTCCCTCCTCCCTCCTCCGGGACACCCCCGCGGCCGAGATTCCCTCCCGGGTTTACCCCGCGGCACCGATTGTCAGCCAGCAGCCGCGTCACTGCGACCCAGCCCCATCCGCCCGCGTCTGCGCCCCTCCTCCCGCTCTCGGTGCTGCTTCAGCTCCCTGATTGTAGGGCGTCATTGCAGCCAGATCTCAGGGGGCTCTGAGTGACGGTGGTTCTGTATTTTAGTTGTGATTTTGATGTGGTCGCCGGAGGCACGGGTGACACTGTGACCTGCGCCGCCATCTCGTTTCCGTCCTCTGTTGCACATTTTTCAATCAAGTTGTTTTGTTGGTGTTGAGTTGTAGGAGTTAGTAATTGATATATTCTCCATATTAACCCTCATCAGATATGTGATTAGCATACATGTTCTCCCATTCCACAGGCTGCCTTTTTACTCTGCTGATTGTTTCCTTTCCTCTTGGTCCTTTTAAAAGTATTTATCTACCACCCACAGTATGCCAGGCCCCTCTGCTGCAGGGTTCAAAGCAGCAGCAGAGATCTCGGTACAACCTTTGTCTGCGTGTTCCTGACACAATGGGTGGTCCAAAGTCAGCCTGACCTGGGTTAAATCCAGCCCCAGATCACTCACGGAGTAGCTGTGACTTTGGGCAAACCCCTCTGCCAGCCTCATTTTGCTCCTCTGTAAAATCCGAATAATCATACTTCACAGAGTTGTCCTGGGGACTAAAAGGCTGTCCTGATGCGATGACTAAAATGTATATAAGGAAACTGGTAACTGCATTATTGTTATCATAATAATAATTTAACATTATACCGTATTATTACCAAGTTATAAAACTTAGAGTACAAAGACTTATGGGAGAAACAGTCATAGGGGCTGAGGAGGAAAACGCTGATTAGTGCATTCTAAAGGCTACTTTCACTCTTTCTAGTTAAAACCTCCTATGTCTGGGAAGGGACAGCACCTTTTTTCCTTT